TATGTCTATTTAGTATCTTACAGGTTAAGAGAACGCATTAATTAACCGAGGCCTAGTTCGTTTACGACGATTAGTATAAAACATAACTTCTCCTCTCTGGGATCTTGTTCAATACATAAATGTACTAGTGCAACTAATCACTAAAGACCTGTGTTTTCAATAGCGTTTTTAGCGCGCTATAGAAATAGCACAATTTCCTCTCTTATCGTGACATAGCGTGTGTTGTTTTGCATTCTTCCCAAAAAACGGTCGCTAAATATGACGTGGCAGGTAATATGCGATGTTCATTGTGCTATTCACGCAATTGCTCGAATTACTTGCGCTATTTGGAAAGCTAAATCAAAGGAGAGAGAAACAAAGAGAGATGAGGCAGAAAGGACGCCTCCACGACATCTCGCTTGAGCTGCAGGAGGAGGAGCGTGAGCGTCACATGGATTTCGCGTGGAGGAGTTCGCCGTCAATATCGCGTCGGAGGAGTTCTCCGAGGATGATCGAGGCTGTGCAAATTTTCGAAGAAGAGGATTTTTATTTTATTTTTTTACGGGGAGGATGCTCTGCGAATTTATTGTTCGAGAACTTTTGAGAGCTTTTATTATTAATGCAGGTTTAATGATTGACTTGTTGTATTTTGGTTTAAAAAAAAAAAGAAAAGAAAAAAGAAAAAGAAAAAGAATTGAATCAAAAATATTGAATACACAGCTTATATTAATTGAATTGTTGAATGTTAATTTTTATTTTAATAGTAATTTTATGAATGAGGAGTGTTTAAGTTAATTTATTTTATTATTTGTTTGGTTTATAAAATATATTTATTATTTTTTATTTAGATATGACTTGCTCGAATTACTCACGCTATACGCTACGCTATCTACGCTACGCAACATTGAGACCAAAACGCGACGAATAACGCTATACGCGTTTTAAAACAATGGTAAAGACAAATTGTACCGTTGACACAACAACCATTCACGATGGGGTGTTCATGTCCATCTTGGTTGTGAACCATTATTCTTGTTTCGCAAGTAACAGATAGAATGATCTAAGGTTCGCTCGATGATGACCTACTCTATCTAAGTGCAAAACAACAGAACATATAACTTGTTTAATCTAACATGTTTCTCATTCATAAAGGGCTAAAGTGTAATATCATCAAAAGCCAAGCTTTCAGTATATAACACTAACCGCTCGTCAGCGGGAAGGGCGACGTCTATGGCAGGTGTCGTGGTGGTGTGCATCAGTGTGTGTATATATGTGTGTGTGTGTGTGTGTGTGTGTGTGTGTGTATGTCAGCGTTATGTGTGTGTGGTGCATGTTGTGTGTGCGTGCATGCGTGTGTTTTGTGTGTGTATGTTATAAGGAAGGTGGTGACATGGCGTGGTGATGTGGCTCGGTTTAGTTAGATGTGTAATGGTAATATCCGTATTACCCTTAATGAAGGTATAGTTTTGATTTTTTTTAGCCATTAGGTCATATGATCTGATGACTACGATTTATTTTTATTTCTTTCATTGGGCACCACTCATCGAAGCGTGACCCTACGAGTCGAATATTGATAATTTGAATCGAACATCAACAAATTCAAATTAGGATTCATTTAACTTTCGAATATAAAATATTATTGTATTTAAATTCGAATCATGAATATCGAATTCGAATATCGAATCGAATAAAAAAAAAATTCGTCAGGATAAAAGATATTCAATTTGTGTACAAGCCTACGTGCATATCATATTCCACAGTATGACACAAAATCTTGGTTCAAAATTAGTTTGGGGCAGGGAAGTATGCAGATAAACTCAACTTCTAGCTATTATTTGAGAATTTCTCTTTTTGAAGAGAAACAACAACAAATAATTTTGGTAAAAGGTTGTAATATGTTTGCAAACAAGGTTATGCTCATTAACTCAATTTGACCAAAATGGGAAGCAAATGAATAGATTTTGTACTCTATTTTAATTCAACTCGCTACTACAACATAAATGACTTTATGTAGTGTAAGAAATTGGGGGAAAAGAAAAGCCCATATGAAGGCCAAATGGGGTTCCATCCCAAAACCAATTGGTGAAAGGAGGAGTAGCCCATTAGACTTATAAGGTGGGTCTATTTTCTATGTGTGAACGATGTGGGACAACTCACAAGTGCTATTCTAACACGTCCCCTCACTTGTGAGTCCTGATATCATGTCTCTAACCCAGGCACAAAGTGGGCTCTGATATCATGTCTCTAACCCAGACACAAAGTTGGTCGGGCTCTGATATCATGTCTCTAACCCAGGCACAAAGTGGGCTCTGATATCATGTCTCAAACCTGTCTCTGATACCATGTAAGAAACTGGGAAAAAACAGTGCGGGCCCACTAACATGAAGCGCACCAAAGTGGGAAAAGCCCAAATGAAGCCCAATAGGGTTCCATCCCAAAACCAATTGGTGGAAGGAGGAGTAGCCCATTAGACTTATAAGGTGGGTCTATTTTCCATGTATGAACAATGTGGGACAACTCACAAGTGATATTCTAACACGCCCCCTCACTTGTGAATATATCAATGTGGGACAACTCACAAGTGATATTCTAACACGCCCCCTCACTTGTGAATCCTGATATCATTGGTCGGGCTCTGATATCATGTCTCAAACCTGTCTCTGATACTATGTAAGAAACTGGGGAAAAAGAAAAACCCATATGAAGCCCAAATGGGGTTCCATCCCAAAACCAATTGGTGAAAGGAGGAGTAGCCCATTAGACTTATAAGATGGGTCTATTTTCTATGTGTGAACGATGTGGGACAACTCATAAGTGATATTCTAACAGGTAGCAGCATCAAATGTAACACTTTACAAATAGGTATCATATAAGTGTTATAAAAAACTACCAAATATATTACTTATTTGTAAAGTGTTACATTTGATGGTGCTACCTAAAGCCATTTATGTTGTAGTCTACACACACGGCAATACATAAAAACGATTTCTGCAAAAAATAAAGTCCTTATTTCAAAGAAAGTGCATAATGGGAGGCTCAAGAGTAAGTTACATGTGATGATCTCCTGCCTCAAAACATTATTACATGCTATTGAACTGATAATAAAACCAGTCTGCCAAATATCAGGTTTAGCTGCTAGCTTTTCGGTGTCCAGATGAAGCAATTAGCACAGCAACGGCCACAATGAACATTATCAACATGCTCACCAGCAATACATATGTCCGCTTGGACGATCTCCGGTACTCCCCTAAAACCACTATTCCCCAAAACGTGCTTACCAGTGGGAGAGCCTGCAAATCTTAAAACCACATTATTCTATATCTATACCACATTATTCTATATCTATATAGTGGACCAATTTTTATTGCTATAACTGACATGATTTTGGGCAGGAAATTTTTTCGTCTATATTTGACATTTAATTAATATTTATATATTAGCAAATCTTATGCATGAAAAATATATTTAATTTTTATACACTCAACGACTATTACACATTAACTATAAATTAACTTAAATTGAAATTGTGACCGTAGATTTATTAGATCTATATATATAGAGAGAACATATTTACTAAAAATAGTAACAAAAATGTCAATCAGCATTTATTGCATTGTATTTTTTGCAGTTTTTGAATTTTCTTTTAAATTATTCCCAAAACATCAATCAGCTATATATGTACCCTAAATTCATGGATTTTGTGGATTTAATTTAGGTAAATTTCGACTGATGCATACAATCTTACAAAAGACAAAATTCTTTCTTTTTTTATATATTAAAAAAACCTGATTACCATAAAATTGAGAATTCAAATTAGGCAAAATATTATCACATATATCTTTTTCTAATTGCAACAGATCAATTGTTTATTAGAAAATCAAATTTCATAAAATCGGGTTAATTTATGTAAAAGTCAGTACGTTTTGTAAAAGTCAAAATTCTCTCATTTTTTGTATTAAAAAAAAATTGTTTACCATAAAATCGGGAATTTCGAATTAGGCAAAATACTATAACATGTATCTTTACCTAATTGCAATATATCATGTTTATTAAAAAAAATTGGATTCCATATAAATCATGCCTAATTTTAAATTGAAATATAATATTTAAAAATCTCTTGTCATTTGACTACTACTTTCTTTGGTTTGGATTTTTTTAAACATAAAACAGAGTGAGATAATATCAATTTGAAATTCAAAAAGATATCAGATTGGAATATCCAAAAAATTTGGGTTGTGTTTAATCCTCTAGAGTACAAACTTGAAATGGATTGCATACACTTATACAATTTATCTTCCTTAAATTAAGTAATTTATAATTTTAAAATAATAAAGTTATAGATTATCAACAAAAATGTTTTACAATCTCCGTTGTATAAATCATATCATATATATCATGCTAAATAATTTAATTGATTTATTTAAGCGTATCTAGAATCCTAATATAAATTTGGCGATAATCGATGTACCAAAACACCAAGCAAATAATGTTGTGCGCAATGTTATGCTTAATAATATATAAGTTACATTTTGTTTCATACAAATACATGTGTTTTACGTTCTTAAAATCATCAAATCATCCTAATATACATTCTTACCTTAATAAAACTAGCCCGTGCATCGCACGGGGTACCTTACTAATATTTTTTCAACAAGATCTTATATTAATTTAATAGTAATTTGCTTACACAATTAAAAAACTTATTATGAAAATTAATTTGATTAAATATATTATCATCTATGGTTGTATGTATTAATTTAATTAATTATATTTATTATTCAGAAGTACTTAAAATATTTAATAAATAATCAAACTAACTATTTTTAAATAATACTAACTTAATAAATAATTTAAAATATTAAAAAAAATCCTGAAATGTAGTCAATCAACTATAAATAAGTACATGTCCATTGAATATATCATAACTATTAAAAATTCAAATAATATATTAATAAAAATAAAATTTAATGATCCAATGCAATTCAAAATTATAAATTTCACTTAGAAGTTTCTATGTATATTAGAAAACTATTCAACTTTTAAAAATATATTTTTCTTATATACTATTTTATAAATGAAAAATAAGTTAATAAATAGCAATGTATAATAATTTAAATTATAGCACTTGGTAATTATGGAAATATATAATATATCTAAATATTCAAATTGATACTATGTAACTCATTATATAGGTTGAAAAAATGAATTAAAGAAATAAATATAAATAAAAAAATGAAAACATAAAAATAAAATATTCAACCATTAAAAATTTGTGTGTTGCATAAGGATTAAAATTACTAAAAATTAAAATTTATCTATCAAAGTTTTTAACATTTAATGCACTTAATAATTATAGCGGAGATAAATATTATGGGTTAAACGTTGGTCAATTATCAAGCAATGTGCAGATTATGAATTGTTCAAAAAATTTTAAGACTATGATAAACAACAATTTTATAAGTACATGCAAATAATTTGAATACAAATATCATATAATCTTATACATTTATAATATTTTATAACTTATAAATAATAAAAATTATATATTAAATAGTCAAAAAATACAAATATATATACATAGAAACTACAATAATAGTAAATAAATATTGTCTTAAATAATTTTTTAATATTTAAATAAAAATATTTTTTGTAATGTACCCAGTGCGTCGGACAGGTATAAACACTAATTAATCCATATATATAATATTTCATATTAAATATTTATTATTATTCAACTAACGGCACTAACCTGGACACAATCTGCTGCTGCATAACCTGCAGCTTGACCTCCCATGAACTGCAGCCCGTTCCCCAATCCACAAACGACACCCGCCAAAAGCGCCCAATTTCGCCCATTCCAATCTCTAATGTATGCCTTAATGGAGGATTTGGGCAGGTTAAGTAGAGGTCGGTAAAGGAACCATATGTTGAGAAGAAGCGCAACAACGAAAAAAGAGAGGGAAAAATAGAAGAAGGCCGTGTACACAACGAGGTGGGCTACTCCGTGTCTCATCGCATGCCATTGGTCGTTGGTGGCCAGGTTGAAAGCAGGGGAGAATAGGGCGTAACACATGCCGCCAAACAAGGTTATGCCAAGACCCACCCATATACTCTTACCCAACACCTGTTTCATTAACATCAACAACATCATAATTTTTGTGTTAACTTGTGTTTGGTGCATTTGCTGAGTTTAAGGCTTACTTATGGACCTTAATTGCTCGGTTGTTCTCGAGCTCGATGAGATGGCGGGCCGACCCAAGTCGCTCTCGCTCATCCCCGTGACTTCCATTTTCAATGTCCTTTGTGCCACCTGAGTTCGTATGTTATGGGAAGTTATGAGTACACAGAGTAACCAGAATGGTAGCTACTTCGGAACAATTTGTCTACCAACTTTTGAAGACATGAACATCTCAATGCAGCTCAAGTTATAATACAAAAATTAAGGGAAAAACAAAAAAAAAAAAAAAAAGGACTGCCTTGCATACCTTTACACGAAACTAGTTTGGTCTCGTTACTTATAACCTCTGTGCTGCGAATCACAAAAATTACAGATTACCACATAAATAATGGATTAATAAAAATTACTTTATGATCCCTAACATACTTTGTGCTATCCAAGCAAGCACCGGAAAGTTCCTTGAGTTTTGCTGCGTCATCTGCCGCAGTAGAAGAATGAACGGCTGAGCCAAGACAAACTGCAACGAGAAAACATCCGACTCCAGGAAACAGTATTTCGGCCCTATTGATCCGGTCGTCCAGAAAATAGTTTAAGGTTGTCCCTGTCACAATTTATTTGGATGCTAACGAACTCCAGAGTCCAGAGGTAGGCTTTTTTTTTTTTTACTTTTACAAACTAAAATGCTGGGGGCTCGAAAATTCAAATGAATGGATTACCCAAAACAACCGCAATACTTGATGTGGTAACCTCTGTGACCGAAAGCCCGACAAAGGCCAAAGCATATTGCATGGACAAATTCCCGAGGCTGAGAAACACGCCACCAGCCATGGCAATCAAAATGCAGGGCCAATTGTCCTGCAATTTTTCGAGAACAAACATCGTTGAAACAATATTATAAGTTGTGAATTGTGCTGTGTGTATGTATGTATAATATATTACCCGAGAAAGGTGAAGCTGGGTGAGGAAATTGGGCATGGCAGGGCCGGGGGAATCCCCTATCTGACCGATGGTGAAGGCTAAGAAGCAAGCGGTGAAGAAGTTGGTGAAGGAGTAGTCGAGGTAGGTGTGCTGAGGAAGTCTGCCACGGCGCTCGAGCTGGGCAAGTATGGCCGGCCAATTCCCCAGCAGCACTAGCGCCCCCACCATACACCCAATTGCGCCTCCTTTGCTCTCTACCACGTACATCTTTTTGAACGTCTTTTTTGTTCTTATTCTTTTTCTTCTCTCTTTTTCAGTGCGCCAAGAAATCAAAAACTCCTGGAACACAGGGAGGATATCCTAAGAGCTTCCGACTTTTGACTCACATAAACTATCTGCTATAACATGGCTCTGTTTTGTTTTGAAGAAAAACACAAGTATAGATAGAGAATTATATATACGTACCCACACATATATACACAAACACACGCCTCCGGTAAACTTAAAGTCCCTATGTTATGTAGTCAATGATCGGTTGGGGAAAACTGAAATTAAATTTTGAGGTATCTGCTTAGGCTGATCAAGATAACAGATGGCAATCCCACCATAACTCAACCGTTCAACTTTACTGTTTTGTGTGAATTATCACGATTTTGACTGTTTACTATATAAACTTCTATTTTTTGCAAACAACCATATAAACTAAACGATTTTTTCACTTTGCCCACCAAAACCGTATTTAAAGTGGTTTGTAGCAAAAAAACTGATTTACAAAGACACTTTAGGAATTACAAACTTTTAAAATATTGCATAAGTACCTAAAGTACCAAATCATAATGTGCTAATACCACTAATTGGCCATATAAATTTACAAAACCTAAATTTTAGCCATGTTTTGTAAAAAACATCTTTTTTAGTCATTTTAGTATGTGAAAATACAAAATTACCCCCAACTCAATTTTAATTCCATTTCACTTTCACTTCCCCCAAACACTTTCACTTTCACTTTCACTTCCCCCCAAGTTTTTTTACTTCCCCCTAAGTTTTTTTCACTTTCAGCAAAAAAAATTGAAAAAAAAAAATGAAAATCTTTATAAAAAAAAAAAAATCGAAAATCTTCATCCACGACCAGATCCCACGACCTCGCCCGGCGCACGACCTCCGACCTCATTCTGTGGCCACCTCTCCGGCTCCACGACTACTTCCCCCAACTTTTTTTCACTTTCAGCAAAAAAAATTGAAAAAAAAAAATGAAAATCTTCATAAAAAAAAAAATCGAAAATCTTCATCCACGACCAGATCTCACGACCTCGCCGGCGCACGACCTCCGACCTCATTCTGTGGCCACCTCTCCGGCTCCACGACCTCTGACTTCGTCCCGTGGCGACCTCACCGGCCAAATCCTCCGCAGCTTCCGGCCAATCCTCCGCAGCTTCTTGTCGGCTCTAAGGAGATCCCGTCATATCTTATCTGGTCCCTGAAATCAGGTATTTAGGGTTCTTGTCCCTTAGTTTTTTTTGTTCAAATTAGGGTTCTTGTAATCAGGTATTGGTGTTATGTATGAAAATCTTGGTTTGCTAAGTGTTCGAGGTAATGTCTCAACGAAAATCGAAATTGTGTTGCTTTGTGAGGATATGAGTGGCTATAGGATATGGGTTTTTCAGTGTAATGTTGTTGGTTTGTCTGCTTAGTTTAGTTGTATTGTTCCAAAAAAATGGGCCCACTTTTTGTTGATAAGGTATATAATTGATATCTCCCTCTTGTTTGTTCTTTGCTAAATGCTGTTGACACTGTGCAGTTATGAAATCTTTCCCATTGCAGTGATTATTGTTGATTTTGGGTCAAATGACAAAATGTAATTGGGCATATGGCTGGATTTTGCTATTCAAGTTGAGAATAGCTTAAGTTACTTGCATAAACCCCTTGAAGCTTGTATCTGAATTAAGATGAATTGTTGGGTTTTATATGCATGTAATTGTCATATTGCAAGCCTATTATGTTCACTCAATCAATGTTCGAATGGACTTAAAATGTCTGTAAGAGTTTGTTATGCAGGCTTCTCCTACCATCCGACTGAAAGCTGTAAAAGAGATCTATATGCTTGTATATTGTATGTTTGTTTGTTGTTGTGAGAATATGGAATGTTAACAAGATTTAGGCCTTACATTTTTTTACTGATTATTATGTCTGTTTTTTTGGATTGGAGACTAATAAAATCTGTAAGTACAAATTAGCAATGGCTATGAGGGCAATCCCATGCTATTGCTGAACTATAAGGATCAATGTTATTTGGTTTCAAGAAATTTATTATAGGTTCATTCATGCTATTGCACTATATTTCTGCAGGTTCATGTTTAAAACATTGCTCAAATTCAAATCACCTACTTTTAGTCCGCATATCGACTCAAATAGAGGAAAAATGTGTAGATATTCAATAATGTATACATCATCTTATTTTATGGCTACACTTTTGGTTGATGGCTCTAATTGTTTTATTTTTTTTTTTTATTTTTAGCCGTGGAGCTACTAAAGAAGGAACAAGTCGACGGGCTTATAATAGGGCCACAAGAATAATAGGGCCACAAGAATCAACACAAAAAACCTGTGTCCCATCATAATGACTTCTCCGGTTAGTTTTTTGTTCCCTTTTTGCTCCAAATTCAATAGTTTGTCATATTCGTTTTTTTGTACGTGTATTAACCTTTATTATATTTTATTATATTGACAATTACAGGATAATAATTGGAAATGGAGGTGGGATAAGGCTTGTAATTGGATAGGTAAAGTAAACTGTCATATGAAGCCTCTAGTCATTCGACATATCAAACAAAGGCTATCTTCCAACTGTCTAGCGGAGTTTGAGCGGTCTTGTTTCGGCCACTTTTTGAAGTTCCACGACAATTCTTATAACAGTGGCAAATTACTTTTGTCACTGTTTGGGAGAGAGGTTGAGATCGACAACCCTCGGGAAAAAGAATGCTATTATCGAATTGGTGGTCGCAACCATAAGTTCGGAAAGGAAGAATTTTGCGCGATCACTAGGTTACGATTCGGCAATAGCGACTTTGACCCGGATACCAATAAGAGCCTCCCACCGGCTAATGGAGTTTACCGTCGATATTTCGACGGAAAGACTGTGCTCGGAAGAGATTTGTTGTCGAAGTTTGTTGACCGAAAATTTGAGGAGGACGATGCTCTGAAAGTGGCTTTCATACTCGTAGTCTTCTTCTTCATTCTGTCCCCGGACTCCAGGATGTCGGTGCCAATGTGGTGGTGGACACTGGTTGAAAACACAACAGAATTCGAGAGATTTCCCTGGGGTTCATACGCTTTTCAGCGTCTTCACCACTATTTGGAAAATGGGATTAGACCGCCGGTTGGTGGGGGGGAGGTGCAATTCAATATCTGCGGGTATATCATGGCACTTCAGGTAAATGTTAATTTTTTTTTATTATTTCATTCTATTTTAATAATGTGGTTTCTTTATTAACTTTGTTTGTTTGATATCTTCCACACAGTTCTGGGCTTGTGAATTGTTCCCGAAATTGTAAAAGATTCTGGAATGTCACGGCAGGGTGACAACCTTCCAAGGGGCGCCCGATGGACATGTGGAAAGGTGCCATTCAATGGTGCCAATGAACTAGATATTGCTGAGGTAATTCTTGGTTTCATTTAAAATCAATTTCTTATGAAGTGCATGTTTAACTTCATGTTTATTTTGGAACAATGGCTTCTAGGTATATTTCTAGATTGATTATTTGTTATATTTTTTTTTTTTTTTGCTAGATTCCATATTCACCCATGGTGTTAACGGCCGAGGAGAAGAACGCCTCTTATATGGCTGACATCAACAGAGATTTATCCTCGAATATTCAATACATTCATCGTGATCAGTGGGCGAGCAGCTGTCAACCATTGTCTTCGGCCAAAATGCATGGACGGGGGTTGAAGACAATGCGACCCTCAAATAAGACTCATTCTGCAAACAATCTGGAATTTTCTGAAGAAGATGAACATATCCCGCCCGCCAAAAGAAGAGCGCATGATGTTGAGCCGGAAAGACCACATCCAGTTGCATTTGACAGACCATCTGCATCGTCTACCGTTGACGAGGCGAAGATCGAAGATGTTGTATCGAAAAAAATTGAAGAGGCTTTTGCTAGGATGTTGCCTAGGTTTGTTGACTCGGCGGTTTCAGAGGTTATTAAACGATTAGATGCTTATCTAATCGTTCGAAGCGCGCCGCGTTTCGGATTTTAGGATTTGGAGACCGTGAAGGATGATTTGGGGAAGTATGATTTGGGGAAGGATGATTTGAGGAAGGATGATTTGGTGAAGGGAGAAGAATCGAGGCAAGAAAGAGAGCATTCCAACCAAAAATCTGATTTTGTAAGTTTGTATTATATGCAACGCACCCTTATTTTGTTATCCAAAAAAATTCTGGTGGTTTACAACTTTCCATCCTAAAGATTTGTTTTTTTTTTTAAGTTTCTAAACATTTTAAAAAACTATCGACTATAATCTTAATTCTTTCAAACTGTTAAAAAACACAGGTACCGGAGTCCGGTGATCATGTTGTTTCAGGTGAGGATGTTGTGGATGAGGATGACGGTATTGCGAAAGTTGGCCCCTCACAGGATGTAGCTGCTATCACTCAGAAGCCGACAAAAGGAGGTGGATTCACGGATGGTGATGGTGATGGTGTTGTGGTAGGTCGAACACTTCGCGTTAAGTTCAAAAATAGCAAGCTTTCCTCACCATTCATTGACTACCGGGAGAAGAAAACTGAGAAGCAATTAAAGGTGAAATACGAAAATTGGAAGAAGAAGAAATCTCCAATGTAAGTAGCATGATAGTTATATTTATTTAAATCTATAGCATACATGTGAATTTTTTAAGTGTGATTTCCTCTTTTTATTTATTTTCTTGTTAGGTTAAAAGTTGGGGCACCAATACCAAGGGCCAGATTATTTTAAAATAATTGAGGGTGTTAGGAATATGCTTTCTACCGAGGTAAGCAAGGGTTCTAAAGAATTATAAATATTAGTACTTGAATGTAGTAGTTCAAAAAATTAATATAATTATATTTTTTGTAGCATATCGATGCGTTTTTGGACGTGCTTTCTCGGAGGTTGTACAATGGGGTCAAATTGAAGTCGGGAGTATCTGTTTCAACAATTAACATTCAGGATTCTACTCTATTTGTAATTGCTCTTTCCACTAATTATATTTTTGCTTAATTAATTTATATTATGTTGAATGATTTTGCTTACTACTTATTTTCAGGGCTTGTTATCGAATCAATGGAAAGTGCTTCATCCCGACGATCCTCAATGTACGCAGAGCTATCCAGACGTCGCAAATTATGAGAGTTGGAATGTTCCTCCGGGTCTGGTTAGTTATGTTCGTGGTACTACTATTCGTTGTGGATCTCCTTGGCATACAAATCCCGATGTAAGTTTTTCTTTTGTTCTTAATTATTGGTAAATTATTAGAAGAGATTAAATGTACTTGTAACATTTATATCGTTGGTTTGTAACTTCGGATGACAGGTCATTTTGGTATGTAATGTTATCGAGCATTGGGTGGTGTGTCGGGTACGGTTATTGGATTGGGAGATCGAGCTTTACGACTCCTATAGCCACCTTTCATCGTCGAAGGCGTGTAATGACCGAGATCTTATATTGACCCCTCTCCGACGACTGCTTCCCACACTACTTCACCGGTCCGGTTACTTTGCTGCTAGGAAAATTCCGCCCAAGTTAGATGCCTTATCGATAAAGAGAATGCCGAGTGAAGTTCAGTTTGTTCAAGATGATATCCATAGTTGTGGAGTATATGCTTGTATGTACGTTGAACGTATGCTTGGCGAGGACATTCCCCGAGAGACGGACTTGAGTTCATATAGAAAGAAAATGGCATTAGCAATTTATGCTCATAGTATTCCCGAGTCGAATTAGTGTCATATTTTGGGGCTTTTGTTGTGTAATGCTATTGCAAATTGTAATGTATTTGGTACTTTGAGGGCCTTGAGGTTACATCTATCTTGCATTTGGACCTAATATTTGAAGTGTTGTTGCAAATATTTTTACTCGAATCCAAAGATTCGAACACCGAAATTAGGATGGTGATCAATCATCGAAGAAACACATAACACTCATCAATGAAAATAAAAAGAGAACTTACGATTAATACGCAATTCAATGTCAAAAGAACAACGAGAATTCTAAATCGATATGATGATTGATGACGTTTTTATGCTCCAAAATCCAATCCAAGATGAAAACAAAGTGAAAATATGTTTGTGCCCCCCAAAAACATAAAAAAAAACGAAGTCTCTATGCCCTAGGCTCGATCTCATACCTTAGCGGCGCTAACCCTCCATAGCGCCGCTAACCCGCCTTAGCTGCAGCTATCTGTACTCGCTAAGTTATGAAGCGCCGCTAACCAACTGACCTTAGCGGCGCTAACCCTCCTTAGCGCCGCTAAACAACCTTAGCTGCAGTTGTCTGGACTCGCTAAGCTATGAAGCGCCGCTAACCAACTGACCTTAGCGGCGCTAACCCTCCTTAGCGCCGCTAAACAACCTTAGCTGCAGCTGTCTGGACTCGCTAAGCTATGAAGCGCCGCTAACCAATTTCTTGGTCCAGAAATCCAATTTCTTGTCCAGAAATCGATTTCTGGGTCCAGAAATCCAATTTCTTGTCCAGAAATCCAATTTCTTGTCCAGAAATTGGATTTTTACAAGAAATTGGATTTCTGGTCCCAGAAATCGATTTCTAGGCCACAAATCAAATTTCTAACCTAGAAGTTCTGAAATTGGATTTCGGGTCCCAAAAATCTATTTCTCGACAACAGATCACATTTCTAACACAGAAAAGCAAAAAAAAAATGTGACAGCAAATGTAACTGCTGCGAAGTTCAAGCTAAGAGAGAAATAGTCTTACAATACACCAAAGTTCAAGCTCAGAAAAAAATAAAAACAACCTAAGAGAAATAGAAAGAAAAACATAAAGTACAGTGAACTCGTTCCACTCCCTTTGCTGGTCACTATGCGTTCGGTGGTGGCGGTGGTGGATGCTGGTACTGCTGCGTCTCCCATGTGTCCCATCGGGCGTCATGGGCAGTCCAATGCGCTTCGTTGTTCCTCTTGAACTCGTTCCACTCCCTTTGATGCTCCGCCCAACGCTCGTCGTTGGTCGCCAAGAAGGACTTCCAACGGGCCTCGTTCTGCTCTGTGTACGCCGTCCAACGGGCCTCATTCCGAGCCTGGTTCTCATCATACCGAGCCTCGAACGTGGAGAACCAAATGGGAGCCTGCTGTAGAAGTGTGCTCGGGTGTCTGTCCATCGACGGAGGAGGCTGATAAGTATCGTGCTCGGGATATGCGTCGGACTCTGAGTCATCACTGGCTCCGTGATGAGAGGCCGCTCGGGTATGGCCGGTGGATGTACCGGCTGCCGGCTGGGATTGGGCGTCCGGTATGGGTAAACCCATCTCCCTACAATAGGCCTTGTAGCCATCCCGGCGGTGAACTGGGAGCGGGGTGGTGTCATCTATGTGGAAGTCACGAGAGAGATCTTTCTTCGAAATATACTTAGCACGCATCTTTGGTTCATCAATCTGAACCCCGAAGTACTCGGCCAGCTGTGCCACCACATGGCCCAATTTGGACCACGCCTAGAGTCGTTCCGTACGTCGAAGAGTGACTCCTTCAGATACTGCAGCATGCTCACTTGTTTTCCTTGTGAGATCGACCATAAAATGAATACCTGTTGCTCGCTGACCTTATTCGACTCCTTCTTGCCAAAGATCATGTGGGATATGTATTTATGGATCACCACCTGAGCTAAATCGATGATTAGACTTGAAGACGGCTCGGCTTTCTTATACTTCTCGCACGGGGAGATGGCCGACCAATGCGGGTCGACTTTCCATCCCATGGGACTGTGACGTGTCTCGATTGAGGGGTTGAATTTGTAAATGTCGCGCAACACCTTGTTGGTTATTTTGTACTCCGTGCCCTCAAGCCGAGCAGTAAGATATTTCCCATTTTTGTGCCTGGCGACCGTGCTAAAGAACTCGATAGTCAAACCCCGGTAAGTATATACTTCCATGTCCTCGAATTCCTCGAGGTCGAGCAATTTGATGTAGCGGCTAATTTCTTCACCGATCTCGAGCTCGTCATTGAAGTAATCCCAATCGATGATGCGTGGGTTCAACATAGGCTTGGAAGAGAGCCGTTGATAAGCCGTGACCTCGTCCATGGACACGACATCAAATGAGATGCAATGGAGCGCTCTTAAGGATTGGGTCGACGTTACCGGGTTGGGGTTGCAGCTCGTGGAGGCCGCCGCTTTGGACTTTGAAGCGGCGGGGCCCTTCTTCTTCGAAGCACCGGTCGTTTTGCCCATGATTTCTAGTACGGGCAATTTGTCGAACACTTGGTGGGCGGATTGGATGGTTGAAAGCTTTTGAACAATTTGAACGTGTAGGTTCCCAGAGTTGGCCTCCTCACGCCACAATACTCAACCAATTGTAATAAAAAGAAGCTTTCGGTACCTCTGGAGTGAGTTTCGGTCAGAATTGAACAAGTCCCATGACCTAGGGTTGTGTATGATCTTTGAATGAACAACGAACTCCCGAATTGTGATGTTGCTGGAGGATTGTGATAAGAAAATGACGCCGGAGACGGTCAGAGGTGGATGCCGGAGGTGAGTCGCCAGAGTGGCTTGAATGGTCGGAGATGGAACGCGCGCCTCGAGCTAGGGTTGGAGAGTTGTTGTGATCGCAGTACGTGATGTCGAAGGGAATGCAGAGGTTGCAATTGCAACGTTGGTCGGTGGTCGGGAAAGTTCACCGGAGGTTCTCGGTCAGAAGTGGTCGCAGCGAGAGAAAGAAGGACGCGGTTGAATGGTGTTAGCGGTCGAGAGGAAATAATAAGGTTTGAAGCCTGTTTTTTTTTTTTAATAAGTAGCAGACCTTAGCGCCGCTAAGGATGGATAGCGGCGCTAAGCTATCTTAGCGGATTCTCTCTGTCTACGCTAACAAGAATAAGCGCCGCTATTAATTCTACCTTAGCGGCGCTAAGGCATCTTAGCGCCGCTATTTGCTGCTTTTTTTTTTTAATTATTTGTTTTTAAAGGAGACAAATAGGCTAATATATACTAATATATCTAAGCCGGGAGCTCAGCACAAATTCAATCCTTTGCCCATTGACTACGAACAATTCACCATTCACGTGGTTTCCCGGCACGACACACACACGGGCAATTTTAGCGACTTTAGGCACTAAGAATGAATAAAAAACAACTACACATAGAGCGTTAAAAGAATATAAAAACAAATAAATTATAAAACGATGACTACATGAACATAACAAAAATACACACAACAATTTATCCCATAAAGTCAATAACCACACAAAAATAATTCAAACAAATAACATAAGTTTTGGTCCAAAAAAAAAAGGAAAAAGAAAAACGTTCATTAACGATGATTACATTTGAACTTGTGTGCAAGTGCGTCTAGTATGGCCGGGTTGTCTACATATTGCACACTTACGAACTTTTTTTCCTGATGATGAAGCGACAGTCGAGGGATCAACTTGAGGGACAACACGACAACAAGTGGTGGAGTAATGCCCACGTTCATTACAACGTGTACAAAATGATGATTTTCCTGAACGTGAAGAAGGCCCAGTGGATGGTATACAGATTATCCTTGGTCGTCCGGCTTGTTTTGGATTAGTCGGTGATTGCACAACCAATGCCCTAACCTCTTCCGGTAAAATCCACTCGCTAGGATGAGCAATGGGCATGATTATCGGCTCATAAAGTCTGCGCAAGGTTGTTGTCTTGTAGTATTCATGTACATAGCCATATACCGATTCATTTGCAGTCCTAAAAATAACAGATTAATCAAGAGACACAAAATGTTATTTTAATCAACAATGAGTATTATAAAAAAATAAAATAAACCACTACCCGATAGCCTTAATTGCATGTGGACATGGTAATAAATCAACTTGGAAGCGAAGGCAAGTACACGTCCGATCATTTAGATTGACAACATAATTATGTACCCCATCCTTGATTTGGTACACATGTTGACTTATAGGGGAAGATACGAACTTCTGAGCTTGCGCTTTATATTCCACCAATCTCTTTGATATTTGAAGAGGAACTTCATCATCAATTTTGTCCGCCTCAATCTGCCTCTCGTGAAACCATTGTTGCAAAATGTGTCTAATGCATTCAAACAAAGCACAAATTGGCAATCTCCGAGCCCAACGCACCCTATTGTTGAATACCTCACATGAGTTCGAGGTCATAAAACTATACCGTCTAACAGGACATTGACTACGTGCCCATCTATGAGGCAATGCATTCATTAACTCAATCCATACTTTGTCATGATCTTTCTTGAGCAGCGCCATTGATTTCTCATGAACAATGG